ATTCTTCCTGAAGTACAGTCCGGCTTCAGAAAGGGTCTCAGTACTTCGACAGCGCTCTCAGAAGTGGTGGACAATATACTTGATGCTCAGGATAACGGTATGGCCACTATACTTGCTCTACTCGACTTTTCACGAGCGTTTGACTCTATCAGTATCCCGTTACTACTTGCAAAACTTACATATTATGGTTTTGACACAGCCACAGTAAATTGGTTCGCTAGTTATTTGACGGATAGAGCTCAAATTGTCAAAGTTCATGAGTTGAGCGGCCGTATAACTAAATCTTCTGTAAGAGGAGTGCATAGAGGCGTACCACAGGGATCGATATTAGGACCAATCCTATTTGTATTGTACTCTGCGGATATCTTAAAAAATGTAAATTATTGTAGTTGCCATCTTTATGCGGACGATGTCCAAATTTATATTCATACGAGTCCACATGACTTGGAGCTGTCCCTTTCTAGGATCAACACTGATCTTGATAATATTGCCCGATGGTCAAGTCGTAATGCTTTGATTCTGAATCCATCAAAATCTAAGTTTATGGTTCTGGGTTCAAAAAAACAGGTCGTAAACATCCTTTCACAAGCTCCTCGGGTTAGCATTCTTGGAACATCGGTAGAGTTAGTTAACCAGGCCAAAAATTTGGGTGTAACTATGGACAGTGCGTTGCGATTCGTTAGCTATGTAGAGACTACTGCCAGATCATGCCTCTTTCGACTGAAGGTGCTCTATAAGGTTCGTCATTTGCTCAGTGAAGACATTAGATTAAAGGTATGTGAATCCCTTGTCTTATCAAAACTAAATTATGCGGATGTTGTATTTGGTCCCTGTCTTCTCTCCACTTCAAAAAAAACTATACAGCGTGTACAAAACGCCTGCATAGGATTTTGTTATAAAGTACCATTCAGAAGTCACATAACACCTGTGCTAAACCTACGCAATATCTTGAACATGGAATCCAGAAGGACTTTGCACGTTTCTGCACTGATGCACTCCATTGTCCGGTATAAAAGTCCACCATATTTGTATGCCAAATTAAAATGGGCTACTTATGCTTATAATTCACGCAGGGATAGTTTTTTGTTGGTGACACCATTCCACAAGACAAGAGCTTTTGAGGGTAGCTTCCGGTATCAGGCATCTAAATGCTGGAACAATTTGCCTCCTCCACTTAGACAACCAATCTCTAAATCGGCATTCAAAAAACAACTGAAAATTATGTTATTGGAAAAGCAGCGTATGCTCTGATGTCGGAAGTTTCTTAGTCTAGCCAGCTTGTTATATTTATGTGCACTAACATACCAATGTAATGCTTAAAGTTGTATATTTCTATTTACATGATTACGCTGTTGTAGGTCCGTGTTTCTTTAGTAGTAAATACTTATTGACAGATTTAAAATATTAATTGTTATATAATACTAAGGTTTTAAGGTTTTCGTATTGAAAATAATTAAGAATATATATGTCACAACAGAGGATACACACAACATAATAATATGTACCGCTCTCTCAACATCCAGTCGATGATGCAACAGGAACGACTGAAAATCAGCGTCTCTCTCGCCAGAGATAGACTTTTTGCTGAGTCGTCTCCTTTTCCTCTTTTGTGTCACTTTGCATTCTTATTTATAGATTATTTCATAAATAGCTATCAATTTAATGTTATGTTTATAATTTAGGGATGTAAAGTGACTTAAATGTGCGAATAAACGTTTTTTCTTTCTTTCTTCTAAATAAACGCTAATTAAATGCTCGAACTCGGGTACCTGACTACGGTGCAGCGACAGGGTCGGCATAATGGGTGCACCTTTGGATAGCGAAGCGAGCGAGGTACGTCTGCGCGAGCAGTATAATAATAATAATAATAATAATAGCAATGCACATCTTCATTGCCTCGCACTACGGAAACCCTGTATCGTGGGTGCCACGGACAACCACAAATTACACCCAAACTCACAAGAGAAATACATGGCTGTACAAATATTTCTCCTGGCCTGGGAATTGGCCTGGGAATTGGACCAGGACCTCTGGATGGCAGCCCAACATAATAACCATTCGTCCACGGAGGCAGTATAGCGACAACAACTTTAAAAAAATCTTTGTGGTTTGATTATTTTCCTCCGTGGACAGTGTTGCTGTTTTTGCAACTTAGTCGCTAGATTAATTTTACGAATGTTTAGCAATATAAAATTTGGTTTTAGTGAGAAATAAATTTAGAGACAGTTTTTTTTACCTGCAGGCTATTTCAGAAAAAAATATGTGACCTGTTAATGCAATTTAAGCAATTCAGCTATATTCATAAGCCCAATATTCAAACCTAACACTAATAACACTACATAGAATCAGCCTGTGCCTTGTCACTAAATCTTAGAGTGTGGAAAAAAAATGCATATTTGGTTCAGAATATTAGTGTTGTTGACATGTTTTTCATTGTAATTTGAGAAGTTGATTGATCTCATAGAAGTTGTGAATATATAAATAATAAAAAAATCTAATCTACAAACATTGATTTCATATTTTTTTTAGTTATCTGACACTTAAAGAATTATTTGAATGACAATAGAAAAATATTTAAAAAAATGGTTTTTAAAATCACTCAGATTTTGCCTTACTTATTAGGCATTGTGGATGTTCTATTGTTTGCTCTATAATTACAATAAAACCAGGAAAGAAATATCAGTTTTAAGGAAATAGTATATAGAATACAATAAAGTCACCTGAATAGAGATTGAAATAAAACTTGTTTTAAATGTATTAGGTATATATGAAACATCACAAATTAATAATTAAAGTTGTTTTAAAATGAAGTTTAGTCTATAAAATGTAATTGAATGAGAGTGGGTTCCTGATCCCTCCATTTTTTTTATATTAGGAATATGCTTGGCCATAATTTCAACTGACGTAGCTAACAAATATTTTATAGCATTTTATTTCAATTTCTATTTATTGTTTATTGCCTATTATAAAAGATGTGGAGTACAGCTTACTACAGAAAGACTACATCCAAATTCTGAACCATGATATAGTTTTATATAGTAGTATAGTAACTCAACTATAAAAGTGGATAACTCTAACAAACCTTTGGCCTAATGATTTACCCAAAATATTAAAAAGTATATTGTATTATGCCAACATGTAAGTTTATGAAAGTAAGAATGAATGGCTGATTATTTTGGTCATACACCAGATGTACTTTCCCATGCAACTACATTCAATGTGTCATTACATTTTAATAAATTATATTCCTCTAGCAAAATGAATCATTTAGCACCTTTTGATTAGTGAAATAGTGTTGTATGCGGTATACCAATTTATTTTTGTTCTTGTTTCATAAAATCTAAAGATTTATGTGTAATGTTATCTTTATGGTGAAACCATTGGATAGGTCTTTAGAGTTGTAAGTTATTCATTATTTTAACACTTACATTCAGTGCTGAAGCGTAACGAAAATGCCGAGTAATGATTCAGCTAAGTACGTAGAGATTTTAGACTAACACCTAGTTGTAGGACCTACTAAGTACCTACGTACTTTAGATCCAAGGGGATAACTATAAAACCTGTTCTTACACACCTACCTATATTGTTTACAGAAATGCGTATTCATTAATGAAATGATATAGGTCACAGTATTATGAAGCAGTGTACAGTTTCTAGATGTTGAATATATTTTCATCGCCGTAGATTCCATGGAATAAAAAGTGGAGTTACGCATAACTTACCTTGTCCGCATCTCTCCGCCTTGGGTGTGGAAGTCATTGCAATTTCAAAACACTGTCCACTGTACCATATTACACTAATTATTTATGTCCATAAAATCAATTGAATTCAGAATAAAAATTTTAACACAACAACATCAACCAACTTGAGAACCGACCGGCAGCCATGTTTCGAAACAAATTTGAATGACTAGCGCCATCTATTGGTACAATATAGAAACAGATGCATTTTTGAAGATGCGTTCAGGGTTAATGTTTAAAATCGATGGTATTTTAGAAAACTAAACAATTGGTTGAGAATATTAAAAAAAATTCAGAGCGTGGAAATTTTTCCGGGAAAATTTCTCAAAAATTGGGAAAAATAGAGAAAGTAGATAAAAACGACATTCAGAGTCGTATTATACAACTCTACTCAATGCTCAAGTCAGGATTTAAGTACGGTTTAAAGCACTCGAAATCATACTCAAGTCCCTGCCATTAAGGTCGTATATCCAATGCTTGTGTTGCCAGTGCAATCCTGACTTGAGTATGATATCTAGCACTGGAAATACGTACTTGGTACTTGGTGTAACGGACACCAGCCCGTTACACCAAGTACCAAGTACGTAAAATGATTGGAAACAGAGAAAAAAAAACTTATGTAATGGCTCCATCGTTTTCGTTCTGTAACTTCAACTTTTGACAGGTGGCAAATTCACATTGTGGGAAAATATCGGATGGAAAAAAATAAAGGAAAGCATAGGAAAATATCCGGAAAAATATTTTCAAAATGGAACATTTTGAACTTTAACACTAAACAAAAATAACATTATCACTTTATAATACTTATAAAACGCACCCAAATTAGACTAAAAAGTAACTCCGAGGTGGCGCAAACAAAACGATATCTATCAATTACCGGTTATTGATTTTTCTTGAGCGTATTTTTATTGTAATATTAATATTTATTTTTTATGTTTTTAGGATTTATATATATATCTCTTAGAACTGTAAAGTCTCCCTAAAACAAACGAACTTATAAAATGTAACTTTCAGGTAACGAAATAGTAAATTTCGATTCATTGCCCTGACAACACTACATCTAACTGACAAATAAAAAATAAATGAAAACTGACACGGTGCGGGGTTATAAATATGAAAATATTTGAGATAATATTGTAAAATGTGTTGAAAAGGTGCAGTGTTTTCTTGGTTTTGTGTTAGACTTTCTTAATTTCGTGCGTATGTACTGTTAATTTGGACAACAAGCTCATGTTATAGAATTATTTGTGTGCACATCGACACTACGACGTAATCATGGCGGACCCACTTAGTTTACTTCGCCAATATAATGTAAATAAAAAGGAAATAATTGAACGTGATAACCAGATTATATTTGGTGAATTTTCATGGCCTAAAAATGTCAAAACCAACTATCTTATGTGGGGGTAAGTAAAGATATCCGTGTTTTGTTACAGCTTTTTTAACAAACATTACACTAACTTTTTGTTGTAACTTTCTTTTAAGGTCTGGGAAGGAGGGCAGTGTCAAGGAATATTACACGTTGGAATGTCTCCTGTTTATCCTTAAAAATATCCACCTGACCCATCCAGTATATGTCCGTCAAGCAGCTGTAGGTTGTCAGTTTCATAAACATTTTCCATTCTGAGTGTTCTGAGTTAGTATTGTTAACATCGTGGTTTTTTTAGGCTGCAAACATACCTCCTGTTCGCCGTCCAGACAGAAAAGAGTTGTTAGCATATTTAAATGGTGAAACTGCTACCTGTGCATCTATAGACAAAAGTGCTCCATTGGAAATACCGACACAGGTAAGGTTTGGTTTGTAGGTATTACCTATAAATGATACTTCAAAAAGTTGACTTTGAAGTGTAATTTTTTATATGAAGGAGCTTATACAAAAGTGAGGGGTGTATTTTTGATAAAGGTAAGCTGATGTAGGTTTTAAGCAAATACTGGAATGGATGGTATAGTATATCTAGTTAATACTACCTACTAATTTGTGGAATACAGGTTGATGAATTAAGATTACAAAAAAACTTTGTAATTGAACTAAATTATTTATCTGACCAAATTCCTTTATTCTTTAATGCTGTTAGCCTTGGCTCTGAACTCTAATTAGTGGTGATCACAATAGATAATTCATGGTTACAGTGATGAGTGATACAGGCCCTGAATAAAGCTGCCCCAAAAATAATAAATAAATAAATGTTTGACCAAATTATTATCCAGAAATAAGTAATACTGACAGTCACCAATTTATGTCCCTTGCTTGCACTTGTGCACGGTAAATTTGTAACTATCATAATGGGGCATTTAGCTTGAAATGTATTCATTAATGTGGTATTTTTTTAACCTTGAAATAAATTCATATTGGAATCAAAAAGTAGGTATTAGTTTTAGTCCAAAACTAGAGCCCTTCTAACTTGCAATGTTATTGACTGAGAAACATTATATTATTACTCAATGCACTTACTGTTGTGTTGGAGGGAAAGCCAACATCTTCTTTAAGTTACTATATTTAGAATGTTGAATCTTGTGTGTGATTGAGATACTTGAGTGTTACAAGCCTGGTAAAAAAAGAACATAATTTGGGGGGGATAGAGTGGGGTAGCACATAGTGTTATGTGCCAACTAGGTGTTGGGGTTAATATAGTCAGAAAACAATTAAAACATATATTGAAACAATAAAACATGTAACATTCAGTTGCAAAAGTGAAACCATGACATAAATCCCAATCTATTTACTTCTAAAATCAAATCTGGCCTTGACTTCTTTGGGACATATTGGCTATGGTCACTTGTAATTTTTTAAAAGTTGTCTGAATGAATTATGTCCAACAATGTTCATAGGCTTCTTTCATAAAAAGCTCATGTGGACTTTTGTTTGTTGTTGTGAATCAAATTGCTCTTAATCTCGGTAACATGTCAGGAGTCATCATATCCCATGCCATGTGGTACCTTGCACAATTTATCCTTAACTGTTTACACCATTCACCGTATAAACCCGAAGGCTGGTTTTCACACTGTAAATATTATTAGCCTTCAAGAATTTTTCCATTATGTTGAAAACAAATGCCATAACTTTGTTGGATACAATTCTGCTACTTAGGCCAAATGTTTCTCTAGTCTTTGGTGACTACAGTTGGCACAGTAGTGTCCTTTGCTATGAAAAAGTTCTAAATTGTTGAAATGGTCCAAATTCCACATAAATGAAATTTAACTTTCCCAGTGTTTATTATATCGTTTGTAGTTAGTTTTCAGTGGCATGTAACGGTTTTCAAGACATGTCGTACAGTCACTAACCATAGCTTATATCTCATCATTGTGGCACAGCCACAACGTTTACAACTGACAAGTGTTTTCGTTTTAACATTCCTGTATGAGTTTTGTGCAATGCTATTGGGATTATGATATGGCAACCCAGAAAACTATCACCTTGTATAGAGAGGTCTGAACTTTGCAACGAATATGGTTGAAGATCAGGGTCATTCTCTGTAATAGGCCAACCATGCAGTACATTTAATCTTATTTGAAGTTTGTTCAACTTTTCATGGGAAATTAGTTATAATTTTATTAATTTCAGTCACATTTGGTTTAGGTTGATACAAGCAGAGTAAAAAATATCATATACATATAACTACAAAATCATGGAAATATTCTTAACAATTTGTACTATATTGCCATGGCACGGTTAGGGAACTTAGGTCGCAAATTCGCAACAGTGGTGCATTGAGCACAAGACACAAGTTTGCACACAATATACTCGCAAACCTTGAATGCCCTGCTGAATGCACCACTGTTGCAAATTTGTGGCCTTAGTGTTATTTGATTCCATCAATGGATACCAGATGAACAGTCTGGAAAAGGGGTAAACTAGTGTGAAAACTAGGTATTACAATGAACATAGTAGATAGGTATATTATAGTCTAAGTAATACTAGCTTCATTTGTATGTTATGTTAAAAAAATTTTAGTCCAGCATATAATAGGAATACTTGTCGTGAATACATTTAATGAATACTTGCTTGCCTACTGTATTTAGGTAAAACGCACACATGACAATGAAGGTGGAGAATCGGCAGCGAAGAAACCTCGCATTGAAGATAATTTGCAAGTGCAAAAAGTGCGAGAACAACTCGCTGCTCGTCTTGATGCACCTAAAGAGGCTTCAGTCACAGTTGACAACATCAAGTAAGGCTTTTGAGACTTTCAAGGTTGGCATATATTGCTCCAGTAAGTGGATCCAGTTCTATGGGCAATGGACTTTGCTGACATGTTCCGATCCAATTCACAAACTGGTACCCAGCGCTAAACTGAACAGTTTGAGCCTGAGTCCCTGAACTCTTATTCGTATCTTAGCCTTTTTTACCTATTCAGGGCTATCTGTGACACTGGATCCAGCTGCTGCGGGATTATAAGGCCTGTTTATTACAAAACCGGGGAGACATGTTTAAGCATCCAATAGGAATTAAACTTCTTTTAAAACATGAAGATGTAAATAACAAAATACTATCGATTGTTTAAACACATCTCCCGTGTGCTCTGCTTTAGTGAATAATAGGCCTAAAAGCTTATTTATAACAAAATGTATGCAAATAATGGTATTTGATCACTTTGACATATCCACACTGTTAGTCACACAAGCTGTTATGAATACCGTCAGTTTTAAACTTCCAAAATATAATTTCCTTTATTTGAAAACTTTCGATTCTGACCCATATACACTTTGCTTTTAGATCTCTATCAGAGGCTATGTCAGTGGAGAAAATCGCCGCCATTAAAGCCAAACGTCTAGCAAAGAAAAGAACTACTATTAAAAGTAATGACTACTCAGATACATTAGGAGTTGTAGGATCAGACTTAAGGGCTATTCTCGACTACGATGTTGATCTGACTAAAGATATCATTAGCCGTGAAAGACAGTGGAGGACAAGGACTACAGTATTACAGAGTAATGGAAAGGTGAGTATTAGGATTTCCAGTTGTTGCAATGTTAACTACATATACATTGCTGCCTGCCTACGCTGCTGTATAATCAAGCAAAACAATTTGGTAATGTCTTTCAAGAAACTGTATAGCTTTATCCATCTCTATAGCTCATTGATAAGAAGCGTTCTGGAGTATGGTACAGTGGTTGGTCACCTTACTACCATGGTCATTCCAACAAGATCGAAGATGTACAGAGAAGAGCTCTCAGATCTCTCTTTTATAGAATGGGTCATTGTCGTCGCCAGATGCCTACCTACGAAACCAGACTATCTAAATGCAATCTAGTATCACTCAGTGTCCGTCGAACAATGTATGATTTAATATATCTTCACAAAATCTTACACTCTTACCTTAATTCCGCTAATTTATTGGCTAGTATTAATATTAACATTAGATACAACCCTCGGCGTCCAAAGGCGTTTGTCCTAAATTTTTTTAAAAACAACACATCTTTTTACAATCCCATAACAAGAATGCATGCATAATGACCTTGTTAAAGACAATAAACAATTAGATATATTTAATTCTAAGTATATATTTAGTTCATATTTAAAAAGTCCGCCTCTGATGTCCTCAAGTAGTATAGGTAAACTATAAAAATTAAAATAATAATAGTTTAATTTTAACACTTTTTCTTATTTTTTGTATTTTCTTTTATATATTTGTACCAAAATAAATTTTGCAATTTATAATTAATTGACAGTAACTTTCCTAAACATGCCGTACATACACGCTCCTGGTTAGCATTCTGGTTCAAATCTAGTTCTAGACAAATTAATGTGTTAATCTGTCTTGGATGCCGACTGTTGTGTTGGTTTAATAAATTAAAATTAAATTAAATGTCTTCCTAAAGACAGTAGAAAACAAATCTAAAAAGAAACATGTTATTGAATTTCGATTAACGTTAAGTCTGTACTAAGCCGATGTTAATATAATAGCTTTGTCTAATACTTATTTATTTAAATATAAAGGCTACTTTCCTTATTTTAATGTTATATTACTTTTTTGTTCTGTTATATGTACTTGTATAATAAGTAGCGTATTTTTTTACATAACATGGCTGTTTTGTAAAATCCAAGGCTACTCAAATTTTCCGCAAGTTGACGATATTCATTGTAATGTATTATTTGAATTTATAATTTTTCCGCCTATCTAATTCGTGATTACAATTAGCAGTTCACCATAATGATTAATACAGGATATATGGTTAATATTTGAAATGATGTTCTTCCGAATTAAAAAGTTTCCGTAAAACTAGACACATTCCCGAAACTTGATCTTTAGAAAAAAATATTTCTTTAAATAGTTATTTATTTTATTTTACTTTCTAACCAAAATTTTAGCTTATTTTTTATTGCCTAATAAATTTATGTAATATTGAATAATGTTTCAGTCGTTCGCCAAAAGCATATCGGCGTTATTGGGCAGTATAAGAGCCCGTGAGGAAGGACGACCTGGAGTACCGCGTCCTCAACCCATTATAATGCCACAACCTACTGTTATACCTGCACAGCAAGCACAATATAACAGATACGATCAGGAACGATTCATTAGACAAAAAGAAGGTATACTGTTATTAAATTTAACTAGTAAAATACACAAAGAACCTGTCATTAGTGCTTAGACCAAGCGTATAAACATTTAAGAACAACATTGTCCAAATACCATTGACAAATACATGCATTCCAAAAAAGGTCAAAGCATTAAATAAATTGTATATAAACTGCATAATACAGCTGTTTATAAATATATTTATTTGTTACCACAGAGACTGAAGGCTTCAAAATCGACACTATGGGCACCTACCACGGTATGACGCTAAAGTCGGTGACAGAAGGGCCTAGTGTGCCAGTGGCGGCACGTGCGCCCCAGACACCGAATCACCCGAGACAGATGCCACGTAAGTTTTTATTATTATTATTATTATTATTAACAAACAGCACACTTACTACATTATACTAATTATACTGATCTTGTTCTGAAGTATACTAACTATTAAAATTACATTTTGAAGGAATGGGTAATTTTCAGGATGGTTTTGTGTACCTAATTTCAGTGCCAATTTTTATTATTTAAGTATTCGAATATTTTATCGTGAAATATTAAATAATATTACTACACTAAGGTTGCCTGGAAGAAATTGCTACTTAGCAATAAGACCACCTGTTCTACATTAGTTTACTCTGTGATACTTACATTATTGTTGTGTGTTGTCATTGTAATTTTTATATGCAATAAAGAATATTTCATTCATTCATGCACTCGAATTTTGAATAATACTTATGATAATATTCTAGAACATGTAAATAATAACAATTGCCACCGAAATTAGGCAGAGAAAACTAACCTAAAATTAAAGTAAAGTTCAAATTAACGGGAATTCCTTATCGAATCCTTGACTATGTTGGCTTCGCCTGTCAATTATAACACTCACTTGTAATGAGAATGTATTCCAATTGATGCAACTAGATTAAATGCAATTATTTTGCCATTTTTAAATGTATACCTTATTCAGATTCTTTGCCTAATCCAAACTTCTTGAGTTGAGACATTTTTTGTTACAGAAAACGGGCCGGTATCAGCGGGCGGTACGCCAGGCCGGCGCGAACTTCTTCCCGTAGCTGCGGCCCGACCCCCGGCTGGAGGCGGTGGCGGCAAGCGACCTTCCCGCACTCCCATCATTATCATACCTGCAGCTGCCACATCGCTCATCACTATGTATAACGTTAAGGATATGCTGCAAGATCTTAAGTATGTGTCATATTGATATTCATATTTATGACTAATTTTTCTGTCGATAATATCCCAATAAAAAAAACATTCCATATTTTCGTGTGAGTGATACGTCACTACATACGTGTAGGTTTCAAATCTTAGGGAACATGGCCAATTCGTCTTAATGGTCGGCTGTTGTTTTTTTCTAGTAGTGCCTCATATGGGGGTTTGATTATAAACGAAAAAGCAGAATTACTAAAGCGCCTGTGTTTTCAACTTAGACTATGGAAACCATTGACTTACAAATAAATGGACGACGGGTCTAATACAAAAACCACGAAAAAAATGGATCAAGTCAACCTATTTAAACGTAGTGACATGTAAAGGAATATGAAAAAGCTAAAACGTTGAATTTAAAATTGTAATGTCATTGCAGTACTGCCTAATTTTGCTTGCAACAATTGAAAGGCGCAAAAAACACCATATTCAGCTTCTACTGGAAAGTTACCAAAATACACCATATGTAGCTTCTAGTGAAAACTACTTGAACACAGGTATAATGGAGTAGCCTTTATTATTTATAAATAAATTTTATACGTAAATGTTGAATTTTACACAATGCCATTTATTACGAGGTAGGGTCTGACTATTTTTTCTTAAATTTCGAGAATTCTCGTACCCGATTTCTCGTGTTATTCGAGATTTTTTTTTAAAACCATAAAAAATTAGCTCAATCAACTATAAAACTAAATGTGAACTTTTCGAAAGTTGTTTTGGCCTGGGTGTTCTGAGTTATGCCCCGGAATAACTTCCATCGTTCGTGGTCCCAGGTTCGATTCCCAGTAGAACCAATTTGGGAAATGAACTTTTGTAAATTGGTTCTGCTCTGGGATTCTGTTGCTCTGATACTCACGGGGAGTGTGTACAGAGAGTTCCCTAGTTTCAGACCAGGTGATTGTTTTACAATAGAATATCAAGACATATATCATTTAGAAAACTTAATTTGTTAAATTGATCATACCGGTATCGAATCTGGGAACTTCTCATCCAGTGCCCACAGTGCAAACCGTTAGGCTATCAAGGTTGTACTATTTATATTATTATGCATTGTTTGCATGTGAAAGCTACAAATTGCTTAAACTTTAAAAAAAATCTTATTTAATTTGCACTGTCAGTCTGCTTCAATTACCTCCTTTGTTCCTTAAGTTGCTATTTTTTGTCATTCATCCAACTTTTGATTTTTAATGCATTTTGGCGGTGTAAGATGTTCTCTGTTAATACTTGTCACTTTCTTCTTAAGTTCAAGCTATGTTTCCTGGATAAATTCCTGTATTCTCTCCTTTCTATTCACTCATTGATGTAATCACATACCAAAGCTTTAATATTATGGTCTTTTATCAAGCTTGCATCAGCTCTGGTTTCCTTTCTTTTCTTACCATTTTCTTAACCCGTTCGTGCATAGTACTGAAATTATACTGCGCTCAAAAACGTCATCACTTTTCTATATGCCGTAGTGCTTACATTGATTCAATATAATTAGTACGGCTTATCACTGACAACGGTTGATTCCGTCAACAGGCTTAGTCGTACTGCTCACAGTTCTTGCAAATGTTTCCTGTGCTTGAAAAAGTACGACTATGACGGTAGTAGGGTATTTGCCGTTGTGAGATAATTACAAGATTAAAATGCGCGATATTGATTGCGAAAGAGAAACGCTTTCCAAAATAAACACTTAGGTACTAATTAATAATAATAATTATAATAACGCACACACTCAACATTGCCCCGCATTAGGGAAACCCTGTGTCGTGGGTGCCATGGACACACATATAGACAACCACAAATTACACCCAAACTCACGAGAGAAATAAACGTAGGCTATACACATATTTCTCCCGAAAAACCTAAAAAAATACTTTCGGGATTACGGAAGTTCATGCAAACGTTATTTCGGGCAAATGTATTTTCGGTCTTCTGATTCGTAACCCCGAGCCGTAGAAAGAGTACAACAATATTTGAAAGTATTACTAACATGTATTAAAAAATATTTTAATAATAACATTAGCTTCAAAGCGACTCTATGAAATTTTTGTTCTAAATATTTCGAACGCTTGTGTTTCAAACAATTGAAATTGACGTGATGGGTCTTGTTCAGTCTTTTACGCGAGCAATGAGTCGGAAAGAGACAGTTAGCTATTTGATTATTTTGATTACTTTTGTAATTTATATTTACGATTATTTTAAATATAAATTAAATACTATATATACTAGTGCATAAAATAACACTTTTAAATGATAACTATGATAACACAATGTAGTACTTACTGAAAATATGATATGCCATCCTGTTTTTTCACTTTAGTTAAGTAATTTTTTAGAAGGTTTTACCACACAATACGGCATCATTGACAAGCGCGCTGTCAATCGAACAAACGAAGACAAAAGCGTGATTGACGCTCTGTATACGATTTTAACGCCCTGTAAATTCGTATACTTTTTAGCGCGAATCCGACGTCCATTTATTTGTAAGTCAATGATGGAAACCAAAGGACATGTTATATTGACATATATAAATCAGACGTTATATGTATGTGATGCATTCAGACATTGAAAACATAAACATTTTATTGTCTTTGTTTGAGTACTGCGTGCCGTCGTAAGCCAAAAGAGATAGCACTACATTGATTTATGTCAAATACTCGAATCGAAAATACGTAACGTCATCTTAAATGCCAACTGTATTGATTTTGCCATTTTTGTAGTACCCTTTGATAACCATTTCCGGTTGTCAAAACCAATGTTTGGCCAAATGTTTTAGTGAATTATTAGCATGAATTGTAATGAAATTGGCAAAAATATGACAGTGAGAACAATTAAGTATTGATAAAAATGCGTCGCTTCAGCGTTAAGGGGTGCGGCAGTAGAAAATCGGAAATCAACCGAATGTTACATTACACGTCACGTTACGTTATGTGTTATTTTTCTGCCTATTACATATATATAAAGCTACAAGTTCTTACTCGTTGATAGAAATAGAACGCATAATTCCCGATATCGTGGAAAAAAGATATTTATACCGTTGTACACGGGTATATTCCAAAGCAAAGAATCAAATATGAGAAGACCTAAATGTGGAAAATATGAAAGAGTGATCAACGGCCTGCAAAAACTATAATATATGAAGGGAATATTTGTGCACTTTGATGTTCGAAATTCAAATAAATAAGATGGCCGCCATACAAATTTCAAAGTCTCCTATCACGGAAAAGATGACCGCCATACAAATTTCAAAGTCTCCTATCACGGAAACTATTACAGATAGGTAGGAGGTGCTCGAAGGAATGTCATAGAGATTAATAGTGGTCAACTGCCTGGGTTAAAAAAAAATAAGATGGCGAATTCAAAATGGCGGCCGAAGAAAAACTTGCTTCGATCCGGCTGAAAATTGGTATTGGGGGTCTTTAGGAGTTCTTAACCATAATTTGGGGTCAAAAGTTTCTTTTCGCCATTTTTTAATATGGCTGTCACATAAGCGTTTTTTTCGTCAAAGTGGCTGCCGAAACGGACTTGCTCTGATTCGGCTGAAAATTGGCATACGGAGGCCTCTAGATAATAATTTGTGGTCAAAATTGGTTTTTCGCCATTTTCAAATATGGCCGCCATAGCAGCGTTCGTTGGCGGCAGAAAAATGAAAATCCTAAACCCTTTGAAAATTGGCATGTATGGGTCTAGGAATACTTGATAATAATTTGTGATCAAAAATGGTTTTACATCATTTATTAATATAGCCGCCATTCGACAACTAATAAAAATTAGCTCTAATTCAACTGAAAATCGATATGTGGGTATCTCGTTATAATAGGTGTTTGATAATAATTTGCGGTCATAATTTGCAGCCATACAAACTGTTTTAGCGCCAGACAAAAATTTGCTTCTAATTCGATTGAAAGTGAACATGTCGGGGTCTCTATGAATGTTTAATAATAATTAGCGGTCAAAATTTATTTTTCGCCATTTTTCAATATGGCTGCCATACAAACTTTTTTGGCAGTAGATAAAAATTTCTTCTAATTCGACTGAAAAAGGCATGGCATTCAATCACAATTTGGAGTTAAAATTTTGTTTCTGCCGTTTTTCGATATAGCCGTAATTTTTTATGTAAATGGCTATTGAAAAAATTGCTTTGCTCGGACTCAAAATTGGCACGAAAAGATTTCTAAGATTGTTTGATAATAATTAATGGTCAAAATATATTTTTGCAATTTTTAAATATGGCCGCCATTAAAGAACTATTTCAATTTTTTTAAAACAAAGCCATAAGTGCCGAGGCCGGAGGCCGAGGTCCGCGGAGGGCGAAGCCCGAAGCGTCCGCACGCTATCAAATGAAGATAATATACGGAGACGTAATAGATTACGAGTACAAGATCTCACAATTGTAAAAATGTAAAGCATGCTTCCCGATGTAGTGGAAATGAGATACTTATTATAGCGTTGTTGTATCTCAACCGTCTCTATGTTAGATTTCATTTTCTTGAAAGCTATGCCAAAGAGAAGTATTTAGGGGGAAAAAATGCCAAACTACTGCCGAATTTCCTGTACTATGTAGGTACTATGAATACCAAATCAACAATAACCCAGAATACTCACACCAAAACCAACTTAGAAATGTTCATTTCTTAAATTGGCATAAATCGGGAATGGACCTCCTCATCAAGCGCCCATAGTACTAACTGCTGTGCCACCGAAGAGCATGAGCACATCCCGTAAACCGAAACCGCGCCGCAGGCCGAGCCCGACCCCACCTACGGTGGGGTACAGAGCTCGTAAATAATACAATAGCCCAAATATCACGTGTAATTAGACTCATTTAAGTAGTTTATTCATAAGTCTTGCCGAATTTTGCTTTGGTTACTTTAGATTGCCTGTTTGTTAGTATAATTTGATGATTGTTGATAACGATTATTTTAAGATAGTGTTGGTCTAGTAAGCAGACATATTATCGATGTTCTGTCATTAAAACAATTCCCTACGTGGTTTTTATTATTGCATTTTTATTATTTTTAAATTTTTATATTTTTATTAGTTTTACCTACAAATGAGAAAAGAAAGAAAGAATGGTTGGAAATTATAGGACTGCCGAACATAAACATTGGATCAAATACCATCTTCGTTTGTTCGCTCCATTTTGAAGTCAAATTTTAATAGAACTTTGAACGTAACTAGATTACATGATAATGCAATTCCATCGTTACATTTATTGGTAAATAACTTCATATTTCATTTTGATTAAAATGGCTCATTACTTGCCTAGTATTAATCATACTTTGATTACAGTAAACTATACAAATTCGCAAACATAAAAAACAGTTTCAACATTCAAGCCATACTTTTGCATGTCGATATTGACTTATCTATGATTATGGCACAACACTAAATTCGCCATTTGTGGTGGGCATTTTTGGTTTTGGTAGGTACGTTTTCCGTAGATAGGGCAGCTCCTTTCCTTTTTTTTCCATCCTCTAATGGTTTCAAAAGCGGTTGACAAACATTATTATCAACATTGACGTATGTAAGTTTCAGTTCAATACTCATTTTTGTTTTCGTTTGCAGATTTGTACCTGTAGAACAGAAGAAAGCCGAAGGCGCTGCGCGTGAAAACGAAGTATTATTACAGAGAAGAAAAGGACCAGCCGGAGAACACGTACCAAATAATCAAGCCACAATTACAGTGAGCATTTAAAAAAATGCAGACATTATTCAAAATTCATATTAAACAGTTTGAAATATCCAGGCATTAAAATTATTCTGAGTTATATTACAGACATTTTTATTAATAATACTCGCTATACTGTTTGAGTTTCCAATTCTTTATTAATAATTATCAATATCACAAATTTCTGAAATCTTCCTAGGTGCCGTACCGAGTGGTAGACAACCCTGGGAGACTGTCAGCGGCGGAATGGGACCGCGTTGTTGCCGTGTTCGTACAGGGACCCGCGTGGCAGTTTAAAGGCTGGCCTTGGGAAGGCAATCCTGTACAAATCTTTGCTCATAGTAAGTACATTATGATTGTAAAGAAAAGGGTGTGTGTAACTTGACGGGTAAAACTTGGTCGCGCCAAAGGTGGTGGCGTGAGAGGGAGAACTTGAACAGTCGACAAAATAAGATTTGGCTAATGGGCATATGGCTTATAGTCTTTCTTTTTTTAACATTGAATAAAATGACATTTGCAGGGTTGCCAGTTTTAAATAGTCATATTGTTGTCGATAGTTTTATCGACGGAATGTGCAAGTAGGTAAAATTTTGCCGAAAAGGTCTGAATTATGACTGTTACGAGGTTCTAATAATTACTAATTGCGTTATAATTATTAATATTTATTTATTATTATAATAATAATATCTATTTATCATTTTCGTTCGTTCGTTATTGTATTCTTTATTCTTATTTTGACAGTTGGCCTATTAGAATCTAAATGATTTTTTATTCATACACATTTTAATAACGGCACGCAGACATGGTTATGTATATTAAATTAAAATGAAAAACAATGAAATATGTCTCCTATTTCTATTTTTAATAGACATAGTTCTAAGCGTAGTGTATGTATGTACAATGTTTCAAAAAATTGACAAATAAAATGAACCTATGCCCAGCAGTTGCGACGAATAATGTGCAATGATGATTCTAATGAAACAAGTTCGACTATTAATTGCATAAGCGTAAACAACATTGAGTCGATAGTCTATATAATATTTATCGACTGCAATCACTAGCTGCTTGCAAGCGGGCAACACTTTTGCGCAATGAACTCTCATTTTAGACCATCTTCAAAAGAGACAGATTACAATATTATGAAATCTATCCTCGTATATATATATATTAGAATTGGCATTATGTAGGCGTGAGTGAATGGCCTATTTAGGCGTGCAGGATCATCGACCTGATCGCGCTTGGCTAAATCATAAATAACAATTTATTTGATTTAGTTTGTATTATGTACAGACTAACTCAAAGGGAAGGGAAGTAGAAACAAAAAATTATGAAATTGTTTGGTAGAGTAAATTTCGTGAACCACCAGATAAAGCATCCTTTACAATAGAATTACGTGTAATTTCCTATTTCTCTCCATGCTTACGTTATGCTTTATGTTTATGCATACGACGGTTTACACACAAAATATTAGTAACGTAAGGCACAACTAAACATCTTTCTTTAATGTAAGGGACATGCTATATTTTAAACCACTGGGCATTCCTAAATCTCTCGTTTATAGCATTAAAGAGGAAATTCTAAGAAACTTTGCTCTAGATACAATCAAAATTGGAGCAAACAGTAAAAAGTTACGAACCTTGGTATTTTGTAATTAAAAAAACAATTATATTCTTAAATCTTGTCCACAGTCTGCGCTTTCCATCTCTGGTATTTTGTAATGAAAAAATCAATTATATTCTTAAATCTTGTCCACAGTCTGCGCTTTCCATCTCAAGTACGACGAAATGAAGCTAGACGCAAACGTCGCTCGTTGGGCCGTGACGGTGCTCAATCTCAGCCGCACCAAGCGGCATCTCGACCGCGCCGCTCTACTCGGTTTCTGGGAAACACTTGACAGGTATGCCATTTTTGGTGCACGTGCAATTAATTCTAAAAGAGTTCTATAGCCATTATCCATCATTTCGTTATTGACACTTTTCGACGCTTGATTTTCGAATTTCATTATTAAGAGTCTATACTACCTCAGCTCGAATTCGAATTTTTCTCATACTAATAAGATTCATTTTGCTTGGGTCGAGCGGCAGGCTTTATTTCAGTATTTATTTTTTTACAAACGAAATTAAAGCCATTTGAAAAATGTATATCGTATACTATTTCGTGTTCTATTTAGTTCAGTTGATATTAAACAAATCATTGGTAAAAAAATACGTAAAGTACCTATTGAATACAGCAGTTTTCTTGTAAAATTTAGGTAAGTTTGTGTTTTTTTCCATCGTGAAAATTTTTAGGAATTGGGTTCTCACACCATATAGTTGTGACGGTGTGATCTCGTTACACCGTCATCTCACCTCTTTGTATCGCCTCTCCGCTTGTATCCTATCATTTTTTATTTTACATGTATTTAAATTTTAAATTTGAATTGTTCCATCTTCCTTCACTTTCTCATTTCGTTTTCGTGCTACGGTCACTCCCAGCTCGACCGCCACAACAGTCAGAGCTGTTCCAAATTCCATCGCGAATAATCACTAATTCTGGTTCTTTACTATGTTTGTAATCATTTAATAAGCTAAATCATGTGTTACAATTTATAAGCCTACAGCCTTCGTGTACCTAAATCTGTAATTCAGTTACTCGGCCCATTTAGGGGTAAGTGCCTTAATAATAAAGTGTAGGGAGTGTTTTATACTGTTGTACCTGTTTTTTTACATTTACCTTTTTATTGTTACAGCCCTTTCTTTAAACTTTACTTCTTTAATAAATTTTGTGGACCGGAAGTTTCCCATTTCATTGCCGTGCACCTGTTCACGGCTAGTTAGGGTTACAACCCTTTCCTAGTAATCAGTGTATCTCCTCAATTTTACTATATATTTTTTCCAAAGTGATTGATTCAACAATTTCACTGTTATGCGGAACCAACCCAAGCCAATTGAGGTAGTATAGACTCTTAAGCCGCGAAGAGATGCCAATAATAATCCCCTGTTGTTTGTTTAAGCATTACACCTCCATGACTGTAATGACAAAGGTATTATTTGGGGTCACATAATAACTTCATTTTTACTGTATGACTTAATGGTTATAATATAACTTATTATTAATATTATTATTAAGTTATTGCATTGCATTACACATGCATTATGTGAAGTATATACACTGAACAATAATTCTAAATATTTTTTCACCCTTGTTACAGGCACATGATGAAAAACAAACCGCACCTTAGATTCTAAGTTCGTTGTACGTAGCTGTATAAAAGTTTATCCTATAGTTTATTATGACGTGTGAATGGCGTCGATTCTAATGCGCAGTCATCTTAATCTAAACTAATTCAAATTTTAATTCTAGTGCCGACGCTATTGGCTGGAATATTTTATGACAAATGCTCAAGGAAATATCTTAAATTTACTGCTGTGGTGTTATACACTAATGCAGTTTATCTTCAACCACGTATGGGAAAATGAAACACAACTTATAACGTTTTTATAACAATTACATGGCTTTAAAGTGCAATAAGATATTTTCATTCAATATGGAGACATTAGTCAAATTATTTCAGTTTTAGGTTAAGAAATATGCGTCTCAGAATCGAACCCAATATCTGATTTATCAATTAAAAGCAAAGTTATCTAAGTCAACTCGCGCCATTTCAATATTTTGGCCAATTATTTTTTTCCGATTAAATGAAACCTTCCATAAAATATCTGATAACAGACTACATATGTAAAGGACTGTTGCTATTATAGTATGTATTTGTAGGTACAAGTTTTATGTATATTTTGCTACTTTTATCTTCTATCCAATATTATATTGTTGCACACATTTTTAAACCTAAATTCAGGTCAACCGTCTTAACGCGTGAAACGAAAGAAAAAGCTGTGGTATTATTAATATTATATTATTCCAGCTCAGTGTTGCCTTTTCTACAGATAATTTATACAGGGTTTTTTGTAAAATATTAACAACTTCTCAGGACTATATTACTAACATCATAAACAACAATTTTTGTTCCTTGACTTTTAATTAGATTAGATTTAACTTTCGTACAAAAATAAATATATTTAAATAGGTGCTCTAAATCATAGTGTCCCAAAGTGGCCCCTACCTCGTGGGCGCTGAAGAGTACTAAGGGGGCGGTAGGGGCCTGGGAAGCAATTGGAAGACGTTGATGCTGTCCAGGGAATGCTACCGCATTTGAAACAAAAACCTGAATTATCTATAGTGTAAACTAAAAGATGTAGTTATATGGTATGTATTTATAATTTTTTCCTTGTGATTTTTTGTATGAAGTTAATATAAAAAATACCTGTTTTAATTTTTTTTTGTGGTGGTGGGCGTTGAAATTTTGTTATCTTGCCTAAGGCGGTGAGCCAAGAAGTTTGGAAATCTATGTTCTATACAGTGATAACTCTGTGCTATACGATGCAAAACGCAGGAGCGAGGATGGGGTCGTTGCGGAGGACGCTTGCACCTTGAAACTTACAGCCTTAATGCTAAATTAAAAGAAAAAAATAAATGAAAAGTTTATATTTGGTGAAGTATAAGGCGTGAAGTATATGTATGTATGCATATTTGGTAATATTATTGTGTTTTGCAAAGTCATGAATTAGACGTTATTCTTTATGATGTAATATAGTCGTATAGTCTTGCGAGGTTGTAGTATTTTACAACACTGTATAAATAGTAATGTGCAAATGGCAACACTTAGTCACTATGTGCAGTTAGCCTTTTTATTGGTCTTATCAGTTTTATTATTACAAATCTTTGTTGGCGCTGGATTTTTTTGAATTGCTTTGTGTCGTAATTATATCATTTATCACCATCCTACTGGCATAGCGATGTAAGCTCAATTTGCAATGCCCCGAACGGGATGAAAGCTATTTTTGTAACGAAATTATATCATACTGTAGCTGCAGGAATTCTCCTGAAGATGAGCGACATAAACAGTTAACAGAACGCTCATTATGCTTATATTTAACTGCCTCCGTGGCTGAACGGTTGCCATGATGGTCTGCTACGCAGAGGTCCCGGGTTCGATTCCCAGGCCGGGAGAAATATTTATATGGCCTACATTTATTTCTCTGGTGAGTTTGGGTGTAATTAGTGGGTGTCTATGTGTGTGTCCATGGCACCCGCGGTACTTGGTTTCCCTAGTGCGGGACCATGAGTGTGTGCGTTATTTATTTAATACTAACTTATGCTATGGTTACAAAAAACACTTCCATTCCATTCCATTCCACGGCAATGTAAATTGAGCCTTGAAACTTAAGTACGTCTTAAACTATGTAATGTAGAGTGTCTTTCAATTTAAGCGTTGGCTTAATACGTGCTTAAGTTTAGTGCATTAGTTTAGAACACTTTTGTAAATTTAAAATTGTGTTCACTCGTAAGGTTTACTTATTAAAGTACATATTATTATCCATTTATTTTTTTCGTAGGGGTTTTTTTTTTTGTGATCTCCTTGGTACGACGCCTTCTTTATTTACATAGTGCCTTCCCTTGTCTAAATCGAATTGAGTTTACAAAATCGATTAAGTTGATTTTATAATTTTCTGTGACTTATTATGAATATTGTGAATTATTTAAATTAAAAATAAAAAAATTAAAAATTAAAAATTTTATTAGACTTAATAGAAATTTGGAGAACCAGACTGTATTATTGATAGGTCCATATTTAATTGTAGAGCTTCTGTTTTAGTAATGTACATTTTCATGCTAAACATTTGTTTCGTGTTTTGTTTTTAAAAACTACTTTATGTGCAACAAATAGTGAATTAAGTTTGCTTTTCTACGTATATGACATAGTCTTAATCTCTCTCTCGCTGCTAGCGTAAACAGAATTAGCAATAGTTTTAAATGTACGGTATTATTTAAGGTTTTTCCTAATAATTCAAATTTACAATACACTTTTCGTATTAATTTTCGTTGACTTATAATTTCTGTACAAAACTCCATTCGAAACAGAATTGTCGCCAAAATATTTAAAATGGTGTTGAAATTGTCAAAGATCTGTGATCTTTGTTTATTTGACAACAATAAATTGTTGACCATTATGTTTTTCGAGTTTTATTATTACTTCACCATTTTCATGAAATCCATTCATGAATTTGATCGAAAGTCCGTTTAATAATGAGCTCCCTTTTTTATTTAATTTTGTAACAATGTAAAATGGTTGTTATTATCAGTCTTTGTACTGATATTAACAACGAACAAACGCGAAAGAAATTCTTTCCCTCCGACTGTAGCCACATTGAGGCACCAGACGCGTGAGTCCCGTTGAAAATAAGACGATTCGATCTTTGTATTAATAATAATCTGGCAGTGGAGTATTTTCATATTGATTAATATCATGGTAGTAAAAACGTGATATTCAATACAAAAAATGATGTAAATTGGTGATATTTTTTAACATTTATCTGAAACTTATCGCACATTGAAATCAATTCGTCTCTAATGTAAGTCAATGGTCTCTAAAGAAAAATCAACTTTCGGGAAAAAATGTCTGAAAACAAGTTTAAATTTCGAAGAACCAAACAAACAAGAACCTATATATATATCTATCTAAAAACGCAATAGTGGTGTAACTTACTTTTTTTCTTCAATATTGCTTTAAATTTGATACTAAAGTAGGTAGTAAAATAAAGTAGGTAGGTAATGGACGTTATTTTCATGTTCAAATAATATTTCGCACATGAAACTGAATACTGTCGTTACTCAAAAATGTGGAATTAAGAAAACACAATTTGAAAATTAAAACGAAAACGCTGAATAGATCTTATTGCCAATAACGTGATTGTTTTCATTTATACATGAGACTTAATAATATAGAATATACTATACTATGTATTGGTTTCATTAATTTCTTTTTCTTCATTTTCCCATCGTTTTTTCTCAACTCCATAATTTTGAGTTACGACTAGGTATTTGGTTTAGTGTGCGATTAATTTTATTTTATATTGAAAATGGCATCCAAATATATAGCACTGATGTACATACTTTAGTATCATATAAAGTAATATTGTCGAAAAACACGGTTACATCACTTTTGCGTTGATAGCTTCGTTTCAAGTGTCAGTGCGCTTGTACGGTCAGTATCTTTACAGAAGTGGAAACACAGGTATTCACAAAACTTAATAGCTCCATCTATGTTATGCAGTACAAACATGAGTACTTCAAAGTCCCACTGAACCGTAGAGGGAGAATAAAAAAAAAAGAATAAATAGGCTTCTCGCGTATATTGAAAAGGGATACCAGCAGAGTACCTATAAATTCTGGGTTGTCTACTTTTAAAATTTTACCCCGTTAAAGAAATTTAAATGAAAATGAAGCCGTGGTAGCCTAATGGTTTGACCTACTGCCTCTCAAGCAGAGTGTCGTAGGTTCGAATCCAGATTCGCACCTCTGAGTTTCTCGGAATTTGTGCAAAATTTAATTTGAAATTGATCATGAGCTTTTCGGCGAAGGAAAACATCGTGATGAAACGTTGAAAAAGGTTCAAAGTCCTCGGAAAACGTGCGCAGTCCCCAACCCTCATTGGGCCAGTATGGTGAACTGTCACCTAAGTACTCGCCCGAGAGGAGACTCGTGCCCAGCAGTGCGACGTATAAATGGGTTCATGGTAATGATGAAATCTGCCGAGTCTAAGGAGGGAGAATCCGCCCGACCACATTTAGCTTGATTAAGTTTTAGTAACCAAACAAAACAATTATGACAAATCTTACTTTTTTATTGGCCCTTGAACAGTATTAACTTAGTATACATAAAGATAAAACTTACGTGTGAAAGGTTATGTTGGGAATTTTTCGTTCCGTACGGCTTTTACAGCCTAAAATATAACAATGCATCATTATTGTGAGCTGGAATAATTGTCAATTACTACAAAGGAACGGTTAGTAACTTTGTAAAACACTTCTTAAAAGCACAAACACATAAAGTCGATGCACATCAAACACTCGGAAGGATTTGCTGGACTCAACGAGGGTTGAGTCATACAACCAAAACCGCTTACGTAGAAAGGGACAAAAAATAGTATTGTTTTCTCGTTTACTCTGATTTGTCTGTGCATAAATCTATCTCTCTTATACGGTTTTTACTATTTATGGAGTCCCTCTACCCAATTCTTCCTCTACGCACTGAAGCTAGTGGAACCAACAGTTCGAAAGAACATCTGTGATTTCGTTCATAAATTTAAAGCAATAATACACAAAGATAAATTTAATTTGTCTTTATTAAAATTTCATTCAATTCATCGATAGTAACAATAATAATTCTCTCTTTCATAAAGAGATAAGTACATTAAGGTTATCATTATCATTACATTATAGGTATGTATTTTATGATATTATTTTTATGTACACAAAATAAAACCATTAGTTTACCCCACAACAATATCACATCGTTAGGTGTGTACTATCCATGTGCCCGTTGGATTATTTAACCATAATTCAAAATTATATATTTTTACATACGACATTTTAAAAATATTCGCCAATTAATTCGTTTTTCTAAACACGAATCTAGATTTTAATGTTTTTAATACAAATTTTTATTATTTTTTTTTTGTAAACATTTCAGAGAGGATTCAAATAACAGTCGACAATGTAAAATAATTTAATAAAAAACAATGCAGACGGCCGGCGTCCTTTGCCCCGACAAGGAATGATAGGACCAAATTTTACCGGTCGCAAAGTTCTGCCGTCTACGACACTTTTAATAAATAAATAATTTTATATTGTTATAAATACTTTAATATTGTTAAAAACACACTTTAGTCTTCAAAATGGGATGCTTAGATGGCAATGGCACAGGCCATATATTTATATAATGTTAAAAAAAATCTTATATATATTTATAAAATAGTCTGAATTCGACAAGGATTCGTATATACGATTTGTTAGGTATTTTTTAAATTTAATTATACAAATTTTATAATTTTTAGTCTAAACTCCTAAGTCAGAAAACAGTTGAAAATCTTTACTAAGTAACATTGCCACCTAAAAGTTTTAACACGTAATGTTGCACTGTATATATGCCCATTTAAGTTTTTTTATCACCCCACTAAAATTACGGTTACTGCAATGTTAATAAAATATTATATAAAATCAAACACTTCTTGTACTAACTCTAAGGTTGACTATTGATGGTTGATGAGCTAACAACTATGAGTTTAGCACAATTACTCATAGTGACGCAAAAAGGCTTCGCGTTTACGAGACCCTACTATGCCTAAACTTTGTCTATATGAGAATTTAGAACTAGAAACCTCCTACTCAGCATCTTCCAGAGAGGGATGCAGTTACGTGAAAGAGCGAAAAAAAGTATATTTGTTTTTACTTCGCCTAATTGCTTCTCTATCTTTAAAACGTCAAATAAGAGCTTAGATTTAGGTAGCTTGATTTTTGAACAAGAGTTAAATTGCTAAACTCGTTTCAAAGTAGTAGTGTGGGTAAAGGAAAATCAAATCAATCAAAATTAGCTGCACTCCATTCTACTTCGGCATCTGGAGGCTTATTGGAGATAAATAGAGGTAACGGAATTGACTATTACAATAATTGACCTAAACTGTCTTAAGAAGCTGGACGTAAATGTCTCGAAAATTTGTCTTTTATAGACTAATTTTCGTGACAATTTCTAATCTGATGCTACTAAATCCTTTATTGGCGAGAAATGGTAGAGGCAACGGAATTGACGGTTCCAATAATTGACCAAAACTTTCATAGTAAGCTAGACGTAAAAGCACAAAAATGTATAGACATCAGTATTATATAGTATAGTATTATTATAAATCGTATTTTAGGAACGTCGTCTTTTACTGTTCTTTGTAATGTTGTATTGTTTTCAACAGATCAAGCTACCATAAAATAGAGTTTTGGCAAAATCTCGATCGACGCGGCCTTCAAGGAATGATTCGTGCAAACTAATGTAATGACTCATGAACTTTTACAATCTCATCCCATCAGCTAAACTTACAAAAAATATTTCCAATTTTGTCTCTAGTTACCTATCTAGTACGCGTAAGTGTAATAAAAACAGAATTCTTTTTCATGAGAATTTATCAAGATCGATTTTATTGGTACTGCAATTTAGAAATTGAAATCAAATCGTACAACGAAAATGGCAGCTTGCGTTTGTCTTTTAGACTCGACATGATCGTAACGAAATTAAAGTTGTCCATTTTCTGTTTTGGTAACATTATTAATTTGGACAAACTAAACATCATTATCATGTCGTTATTTTTCGAATTATCAAGAAACATTGTTTATCTATCAGTCGATAATATTAAAAATCAACCTTATTCGTAATGGACATAATTTATTACCCCAACAAGTTTTAAATTGTTGGAAATCCGGTGTTAAAACGGCCTTGAGCATTGCTAAAAATCAAAGAACTGATCATTACGGAATTCAATATGAATTTACAATGCCAATATTATGTATATGTACGTATATGTAACCATTGTTTTCAATAAAATAAATTTGTCACAAATGCTTTTTAAAGTCCAGCTGAGACTCTCTAGTACTCGAAAGTTGTCGTCGTTGGTACCACTTCCAGCACCATCTGGAGGAAAACTGTTATTTTATCTGTAAGAAGAACAATTTTATTAACGATGATATCCGAAATTAAAAATAAAGAATTATAGCATTAAGTACGATTGCTTTTCAATCCAAAAGATAATAATAATAATAATACTAAAACTCTAAAATAGATAATAAGAATAGCAAAACCTAAATTATATGTATAATAATAACGTATGCGCTCATAACCCCGCAGATTCATTTCCTAATTTGCCATCCTTACAGGTGGAATATTTTTTCAAATTTAATACGGGACCACTACTGAGGTGAAAAAAAAAGAATCATCGAAATCAGTAATCGTGTAACATCCATACAAAAAAAATACAGTCGAATTGAAAACCTTCTCCTTTTTTAGTCGGTTAAAAATTGTATTAATTAAAAACCGCTGCCTCCGTGGCCGAATTGCCACATAAGGTCCCGGGTTCGATTCCCGGACCGGTAGAAATATTTGTATGGCCTACATTTGATTCTCTCGTGAAATTGGATGTAATTTATGGTTGTTTTGTCTATGTATGTGTCCACGCGCGGCACCCGCGATACAGGGTTTCCCCAGTGCGGGACTATGAGTAATAGTTAATTCTGAATAGTCTCAAGAATTCTAATTATTATTAATATTATTTTACTTATTGATATTTAGGTTATGAAGACCCATAAATATATCTTGTATACTAGCATATATAATAATATAGTAATATTACAATATAATTAAAACAGTATTTACATGTAGATATGGACTGCGATGTGTGTAATGCAACGTGGGTGTCCGGTAATCATCCTCGGAAACATCGGTACATGACACCCTTCGGTTACCTTACCGGTAGTCTAAAGGCATTCAGTAAATACAATAAATACGTTACTTACCCATAAACGGTAACGAGTACCCCCATTTCACGAATGGGACATAGACCAGCAACCCGCCGAATATAAAAGCGGTGGCATATAGGTACTCCCATTGGGGCATGTCAACTATTGGGGCAATCACCAGGTACGTCGACACCAACAATACAATGTAAGGTATTATTATTGGCACCTGAAAGAAAAAAAAACATTCATAAGTTTATTAGTTTTCGTCCTGCGTTTAAAATGTTAATACGCATCAGTAGCTATGCTGCCCTCGCAATATCTTGTCTGATAGAACTTTTGATTGAATATTGGTCCGAGCGAAACAAGCAACATGTTTTTCACTCTTATTGCACGGACATAAAGTGTTTGTGAACGGTTCGCCTTTAATAAGTGTGGTGTAGTTTCTTAACATGACGTTGACGCACATTTGACGATATTTTACACACATAAGCAGTAATTACGCGTTAAAAAGTAAACTCAATGAAAAGATACCTTTATTTTTAAAAGTTAATAAATTATTAGTATTTTTTATTTTGACAATTGATATTTTACGCAAAGATAATGGCACCTGCCACATACATTGTGGTGTATACAAAATAAAGGTGCGCTGCGGCCCGCCGTTACGACGTTACAATATTGGTGTGAGCGGACATACTGCACCCGCACGTTAACACCAAACTTACGTTCTTTTATTGAGTCATCCCTGTACAAAGTGGTGTTGACGCCACAGTGCCTTAATTATTGAATGCGTACCTTGTAAGGCCTGGGTGCATGCGGTTTTGTTCGCCTCATGACGATCAGCGCTAGCATAGCGCCTCCGTAGAAGATCCATGCAGTGAATGAAAAGAAATCAATGAGTGAGTCGATTGTCCCGTACAATACCATTGCAACTGCTATCAGCGACTGCAAAGAGAAAATTCAACTACAAATGTCGTCGTAAGGAAAAAAATCTTTTCTTTTTTTATGTAAAATAGGAGGCATACGAGCAGACGAGTTACTTGATTAGAAGTGGTCATGGCGATTATGGGCGACGGCCTATGGACGGCAAATCAGAGACAGCTCTTCTGATATTGCAGATAATATCAGAAGAGCTGTCTCTGATTTGAGAGTCCTTGCTCTTAGAAGAGAGTTCTTACTTTTTGAAGAACCCTAAAGGAAATACTTTAGGAGAGGGACCATTCCACATCTTATAGGTTCGAGGAAGGTATAACCGTGATACCCACGTGGTCTTACAATGGCAGGCATCAAGGATGTGGAGACAGGTTGTACTCAACCTGTCATTTGTCATTATATAGTCGGTAATACACACACAGGTAGTCAACCTCTTCGTAGACTATGGGACTTCAAATTATCTTTTTTATGATACCTGTGACGGGACGAGTAAATCGTGCGCCTGGTCTTAAGCGACACGCCTGTCCATAGCAGTTGCAGTGCCAGTTTAAATCACAAAGATCAGAGGTACACTGCCACTACACCAATCACACTTGAGCCATAAGTTGACAAGTCTGATGTGCCTGTAATTTCACCAGCACCCTTAACCCTTCTAAACCAGAACGCTCACAAAAAGCAATGCTCACATTACTTCTCTGGACAAACTCTTTAACAAGAAGCACTAATGCTACTTAAATGAAGTTCATTCTTCAAGTTGTATTATCTTTTATTCAGTTTTTGCATACTAAAGCAGATTTAAATATAACACAATCCTTTTCAATAACTGTCTCGTAATATTAAAGTGAAAGAGATAATTACATGGAATATGAGACCAGGTGCAGGAGTGAATCGACGAACGTGCACGTATGACAAAATGTCCAACAAGTGTCCCTCTCGTGATGCTGCGAAGCATAATCTGCAAATATAAAAAACAAGGACTTACTTAATGTAACATTTGCTGACAAATTATTTTTATGAATGTGTTTGTCACAAATATCTTTCTTTTAACACAGTTCTGGCAGAATACCAGCGTCCCGGGAAACTGCGGCATTATGCTGGACCACCACCTTTTAATAAAAAAAAAAGAAAAAATATTCTAGGTTCAATTTACATAGCCGCGGAACTTTATGCCAACTGTGTAATCCTTGGAGGATGGAAAAAAATAAAGAAGTGTAATCTATAAACCAGACTGACATAAATTTCACTATGCTATGTATAGTCGATGCCCTAAGATACCTGACCCCCTAATCGTCTATTTAGTTCTGAGTAGATCATTGTAAAGAAATATGTTTAACACACTTAACCTTTAATCTGAGAGCCGTAAAATTAATTTTGGTACGGCTTGTTTATTATTATATCATTATGTGAATGACATTTTAAGAAACTTTTTAAGCCAATTTGATCTTTGATTACATTACATAAATTGTAACCAAAAAGCTGAAATTGCTTTACACTTGTCTGTTTAATAAATAAGAAGACTCTCAGCACCAAAATATTGGCTAGGTGGTCCGTTATCTTAGGGCATCGACTGTACAATTTCGATACAAAAAAAAAATCGATTTCATTCCGTTCCGCGGCGCTGTGAATATACAATAGACTAGACAACCAAATAAAATTTTCACTCTTCATGAAATGTGTAACGTTTAGTTCTTTTCGAATACAATTTATCTTTGACTTAAGATTAAGACTGATTATTGTTATTATTATTGTATATTGATGAATTTTGTTTTACATTTTTGTAAAGTTTTAAATTATAATTTTCATGTTTTTTTTGTGTTTTAATTTATTTATTTTAATTTATTTTATTTAATGAAATTGTAAAGAGTCGACATAACTCTTTTTTTTTATAATACCAAGTGATAGGACGAACAAATCGTGCGCCTGGTGATAAGCGACACGCCTGTCCATAGCTTCCTTAGAGAAGTATTCCCTCTGTACGGGGAAACTAACCAAGTCCGATACGTGTCTGGAAGGAGAAATATCTCACGGCATCACTCATTCCCCTATCGGAACTGATCTACCTTGGCAAACTTGGAGTTCCCTAAATAGGTAGCGTACCCAAGTCGGCCGAAGCAAGGAGAGTACACACAAGTGGGATTATAGCTCGGAGAGCGCATGTATGTGTGGTGTTTTTCCCCAGACAATGGCACATCTTTTGACGTGCCCTGTGTACGCGAGGACCTGTACAATGCCACTGATAATGCTGTCTCAGTCGCTAAGGTCCTCACAAATATATAAACGTTAGATTCGACAAGCTAAGAAGAAGAATTAAATTGTAATAACAAGGTATTTTCATTTGTTTTAATTTTTTTGTTGTGACAAGGTCAATAAATAAATGAATTGAATTGAATAATTATCACTACAAAGATCAAATAATAAGATATCTTATTTAAAATATTTAGTGTTCGATTTTTTCTACGTTAAAAACCAAAAACAAAGATCTGCAACAAGCACATAGAAACATTCGTAAGGTCCACTACTTCGTTCCGTCGCTTAGTTGGCATAGCGTCCGAAGCGGTTTGCTTGAAGACGTTGGTTCGAATCCAGCCGGTTCTAAAGAATTTTTTCTTGGTGTTCGATATTTGTATTAATAATTATTACAAAGTAGTGGAGTAATTTCACAAAAATAATGGAATATCATGGTTGTCAAACATCGTGACATTCAATAAAAACTTAAAAATTGAATTGAATAGTTTTTGTAACACGAAATCTTACCTTCCAGCAACAAACAGCGTGCCATTGGCAGATCCGAAGGTGGAAATTGTAACAGCCAACGGCATTAACCAGGCCATAGGCCCAAGCAGCCGATTCCCAAACGTCACAGCCACAGCTTCGCTGTCCGCCATTTCGCTCACAGACATCACGGCCAAGTACGATACGTTCACCAGTGCATAGCAGAGTGTCACCAGAGGTATGCCAATTATTATACTCATTGGAAGGTTCCTAGAAACATCGAAACTTAAATAGTATTTTGATTAAGGTAAACCTGTCAAGTTTTTAAAGTATTTTTTAACGCGACACTAACCAGACACTTCTCGACACATAGTTGGAAATGTGTCTACATTAGACAGTAGTCGCATTCTGCAATTTTAAGGTAATTTGTAACTGCAAATGTTTGTAGTTTGTTAAATACTACAGGGCACTCAAATCTAAGTGAATACGAAATGACAATTACGATCCGGACTCTACACTACAGTAAACGCGGATCGTAAAGCGCTACGCAGGCGATGTTCTTTTGTTTAATTTTTATTATAAAATTTGTACAAAGGCGGATTTGATTACAACATTGTTTTAAATTTAAAAAAAGAACGCCATGTACACTCTCTACGTAGCGCTTAATTACGCAGCTACGCCTACCGCCGGCTACGCGGGCCGTGAGCGCATCTCTGAAATCAGCCTTAAAATTTCATAATCATCTGTTTACAAAACTACATACATAGTAAAGATATTTTGATAATTGGTAAGTTAAGTCACTTGCCTGGATGGATTCTTAATTTCCTCAGTCACATAGTTGAGATTATTCCAACCGTCGTAGGCCCACAAGCCGGTGTAGAAAGCGGTGGCAATGTTGCCCATCGTCGCCGTACTACTGGCGAAGTTGGGCTCCTGTAAATGTCGCGTATTACCTGCACCATACGGACACAACCACCTGTCAGTCTGTTCCGAAATATTTACAACCCATTATGATTATATGGATTACAATTGTTATGGTTAAAATGAACTTTAAAATAAGTAATAATAAGCTTTAAATTAAGATTAAATAGTTTTTCGAAATACAAATGGTAATGTCATTTTTTCAGTATTACATATTAATGAGTGATTTGTGATTTTTATAATTAATTACATTCTATTGTTTTCATTTTATTTTACATGATAAACAAAGAAAATCAAGACTATATTGATATATCAACTACTTGTCTCAGCACTATCGCACCCCCAGAAATGTACACCACGCGGCGCGGGCGAAGAACTTCAAAATTCAGTATAACACAGTAACGTTTTATAAATAATAATTTATAATAAAATCGGGACATAATTATTACCTAATATGAGTTTATAGGCTCCTCCACAAACGATGATTGCGATGGCAACCAACTTAGCTGCCGTAAAGATGTTTTGCACGTTAGTGGCCAAGTTCACGCTGTAGCAATTTACGGCCAGTATCATTACTGTTAACAAGGAAAGACACATATAAAAAAATCTTAAATTACCTTGTCCTAACATGTAAATTTACCGAGTATTTCTATTGATATTATGTACATCGTGAGAGGGAAGGTAAAAGTCTAAAGCGCCATACTCTACATCCTCATAAAGCCAGCACATTATTACGACGTAGTCTAGCCGCCTTGGCGGAATTAAAGAGACTCGGTCCACATAATTTTATTGTAAGAAGGTAGACATTTTTGCAAAGGTTACCCAACTAAAGAACGTTAGTAAGACGTGACCAAGGATCCGAAACGTTAATTTGTTAGATTCGAAAAAATTGTTTCATTTAGATATATTTTTTTACTCTCCACACTTACTTATAGGCGAAAATTATAAAGCGAAGAAATGCGCCTATTAAATATTTAAAAGACATATATGTAGATACAATTCATAAAGCGTTCACGTTCTCTATATCAATTATATCCTTCCAAAGGACCGGGAGGTTTCGGTCTGAGATACCCTGAGATAATTAACAATAATATCAGGTTACTCTACAACAAGTACATTATGTAATTACTAAGCTGGTGCCCGTCGCTTCGTCTGCGCAAAATAAGTACTTCGAGTAGTTTTGTACCGTACTAATTTTCATAGTTTTATTGATTCTCCATACAAATTTTCATCCCCAATTTCATAATTTGTGACAAAAAATAGCCTATGTCCTTCTCCTAGGTTCCATCAATATCTATACCAAAATTTATCAATATTGGTTGAGCAGTTTAGGCGTGAGAATGTATCAAACAGTTACTTTCACATTCATAATTGTGGATTTACATCAGTTCGCTGCCTCCACATGGTTTGTTTGTACTTAATCGCCTTAATTGGTATTGTTCATTCAAAAATGTATATTGCAAAACAATAAAGTGGTTCCAATACAACATCTTACCGATAGAAATGACCGCTACAAGTTTGACAAGAGCATGCGGCGGCTCGCACTCCGCGACAAACGGTTCCACAGCGTATTTGGCGAAGCTTAGACATATTATTGCCATTTGCGATGGCTTCAGCACCAATGTCGATACCTAGAGAAAACATAATTATTAGTTTCTATTACAAAAAATGTATTGAGACCATTACTGGGGTATCTCAGTAATGGATGGTCCTTACCCGCTATCTAATAAAAAGAATCATAGAAATCGGTTCACAAATGTCGGAGTAATCGCGTAACATACACAAAACTAAAAAAATAGAGACGAATTGAGAACCTTCTCCTTTTTGAAGTCGGTGAAAAAGACAATAAAGTATCTAATAAATATATTAACCCGTTGTTAATGGATCCAAAGTGTCCATGGATTCAAAGGTAGAGACTATTTAGTAGAAGAGTATCTCCGAAGACATTTTATATTATTTTATAAAAAGTTTCCGTTTAATGCATGGACGCTCTGTTTCTTTAATTTTTGAATAGTGTGTAAAGATAGAAATTTTTCATTTCACTTATAATCACTTTTTTCACTTATAACAGTCAATATAACGAATAAAAAAATTGCATTACATATAATACGCAAGAATTACATAAAGGTAGTATATATGTTTGACAATCTTGTTTCACGGTATTTACTAAATTACTTTGCTTACAAAATGTCTGAATGAAATGGCGCCGGATAAAAGACCCAAAATGTCCATCTGTCTAATTCTTTATAGCGAAATATAGAGTTATCTACTTCAGAACTGAGATAAGATATGCAATTCACTTCAAAATAGTCAACATTAAAGACTGAAAATTAGTAAATTAAATTAACAACTTTGGCAAACAATTACATACCCATGAGAACAAGAATGCGGGCGGTCCTCCAAACGCGTCCATAAAATAAGCGTATTCAGCGCCCGACGACGTGTTCATTGTTCCCAGCTCCGCATACGCGAGCGCTCCTTTACGACAAATTAGCAAATTGCATTAAATTTATACATGTCACATGTTTTTCCTACAATTACTCTTATCAAACATACCTATAAATATTTGCTTCGTAAGAAGCCTAAGATATTTATACCAACATTTTTTTAAAGAAAAATTAATCGCAAAAACCATATTAGTGTAAAAATTTCTATCCATTAACTTCGTCGGTTAAATTTGAAATCTCGTAACTCCGTTTTTGGATGCTGATCCCTTTTTACTTTTCAAACTCAATATTGGCAATTAAAGCTTAAAATATAATTTCTAGACAACAGATTAGTTATAAGATAAAAGTATTTACATAGATTGTCATATCAAATTATTTCCAGTAATTCTGTTCATTGTGCCTGCTCAAAAGTTCACATTAATGGAGGTTACGAGGTTTACGAATTTAGGAGAAGAAATGCATTATGTAGAGGATGAAGTCGGGTAGTTGATGATGATGTTGTGCACCATTTTCTTTTACAATCTTTACATCATATAAATTTCTCCTCTTTACGTGGTGCCACCTATTTTCCCGTTTACGAGCAACCGGTGATAAAACAGTGGCATGCGTTACTGTAGTGTAGGTACCTATTTATGATGTATGTTAGACAAGAAACGTAACAGTTGTAAAAGATTGGAAAAAGCTTACATTGTTTACCAGCACACGAAAATATTCCACCTATTTTCCTCACTAAAGGTGTGATGAACCGAAAATCTGAACAATTTTGTTAGCCTCGAAAACCGCGACGAAAATAACCTACCTACAGTTTCTGTGTGAAAATCCGGATTTTGTTCAGTTCGTACACGTTAACAACTCACAATTTTTAGACGTATCAATTAAATTATTTTCTGTGCACACTTATAAAGTGAATAAGGTTTTGTAATGAAAAGTCGATTTTGTCAACTTCTATTGTCGCTCTAATTACTTCTATATGTTTTCCTCATACTGGTCCTCAATATGGCAGAAACATGAGCCACATAGTTACTTCAATGGCACGGAACACGAGCGAGCACTTATTTAGTCGGGTTGGTATGTATCTACCTACTTGCTGACGCGGCTACGTAGGTACAGATACCGAGTCATTAAAAATAAGTAACAAGTGCATGCGCGTACATATTTGCTACATTTTGCTTAAGAATGTGGCTGTAAATGGTATTGCAATGCAAATGATATTTATGGGCTGTGGTTTTGTGTCAAAAAGGCATTGGGTTGCAGGTTGCAAGGTGGCAAACTACGCTTATGGTTATTCTCTCGTTCCGGAAACAGACAGTTTAACAATTTTTTGTAGTAATATTTTAACAGTTGTACTTACCAAGCAGAGATAACAGCCCACAGGCCATCCATATAATGAAGCTTATGCCCACTGAGCCTGTCCGCTCCAAAAGCCCAGAGGGCGAGACGAATATTCCCGAGCCTGAAAATGTCCAATTCTTGTTAGGTTATACTTAAATACACATAATAAATTATTACAGTAATTGTAAGGATATTGCAAATTTATTTAAAGATCATTTCCGTGTGGACCCACCATCTTTACCATTAGCACCGATCACTTCTTGTACCGAAAATGTATGTGGGCAGGTGATAGAAGATATTACTTTGAAAGATATCAAATTTATTTTAAAACTATGAATAGAGGCAAGTCACCTGGCCATGATAGCCTAACTGTGGAACATTTGATATTTTGGGGAAAGCATTTGCTAAGCGTTTTGCATATTTTATTTAACTTGTGTATTGGTCATGGATATGTGCCGCCGGAAATGGTCCGTTCAGTGGTTGTACCAATTGTAAAAAATGTGTTCTTTGCAGCAATTGTGACATATCTTCGACTAGAAATTACAGACCCATATCAGTGGCAACTGCTGCAAAGGTTTTGGATGGTATTTTGAACATGAGTCTGCAAATGTGTTTAAGTCTGGACGATGGCCAGTTTGGTTGTCGGCCACGTTTGTCAACGGAGTTGGCAATTTTGAGTTTAAAACACACAGTGTCTTAGGTACTACACTGAACGGAAAACAAATGTGTACGCATGCTTTTTAGATCTTTCCAAGGCTTTTGACCTGGTTAATTACAATCTGTTATGGAAGAAATTACAAGGATTGGGGATGTCTAGGGAATACATTAACTTGTTTAAATTTTGGTATAATAATCAAAGTAACTCTGTAAAATGGTCAAATGAATGTTCAGATGATTATGTACTAAGTTGTGGAGTTAGACAGGGTGGTTTAAGGTCTCCCAGCTTATTTAACCTCTATATTAATGGACCCATTGAAGAGCTGAGCAGCAGTCATATTGGCTGTCATATTGGAGGAAGAAGCGTTAATAATCTAAGTTATGCAGATGATATGATGCTGCTCAGCTCTTCATTTAGAGGGTTGAGGAAACTACTTTTCATCTGTGAAGAATATGCCAAGTTTCATGGCTTGGTTTATAATATTAAAACAGTTTTTATGGTCTTCAAATACAAAGAAGGACCACATTTTGTACCTGATTTGTGTCTGAATGGTAGTAGGTTGGTTAGAGTGGATAAATGCCTTTATCTTGGTCATATGGTTACTAAAAATCTTAGTGATAATAATGATATTGAGCGACAAGGGAGGGATTGGCAATGCGTGGTAATATGTTGGCAAGGAGATTTGCATTCGGTTCAGATAAGTTAAAGTAACGCTCTTTAAATCGTACTGTCTGACACTATAAACATGTAGTTTGTGGGTTAACTGTACCAAACAAGCGTACAATGCCATCCGCGTTCAATATAACGATGTATTTAGAGCTATGTTTAAATTGCCAAGATACTGTAGTGCATCTGAAATGTTTTTGTTAGCACGTACGGACGGGTTTGCTGCTGTGCTTAGAAAGAGGGTTTCTTCTCTTAGACTGAGAGTGCTAGATAGTACTAGTAGCATTATAGCTGCTATAGCTCGTAGTTGCGATTCGTCCATACTGAGACATTGGATTTCAATTATTAATAATTAAGTACCTATATATAATATTTAATTCTAATGTAACCTTATTGTAGTTCTATTTTTATTATTACTCATTATTGTTGTAGTTTGTCATGTCTGAATTAAATGATTATTATTATTATTATTACATTTTTTTTGATACCGGGACAAGCAAGTCGTGTTAGGAAGTGGTGGCAAGCGGCAGGCGTGTCCATAACATTTGCAATACCGCCCAGAGCTTTACTTGGGACTACCACTGCACCCGTCATCCTGAGACATGAGTTAACTTTATTGAGTTAACATTAAGTTAAAGTCCCCTCTGCCTGTAATTTCACCAGCACCCTCACCCTTCAAAACCGAAATGCAGCAAATTGGCGGCTGAAATAGATAAGGTGACAGTACTTCCCCGGATTACTTTTACACAAGGAGCACTACTGCTACTAAAATACAATTAATAGATAATTATTATCATAACTTTATATAGAAACTGCATGCAAGATGGATCTTTATACAGTACCTAGTCACTGACGCATAATGCTTTCCTCTATTTGCCATATCTTTTAATAGTTTTTAACAAATACTTAGACGTAATTTCAAAATTTTTCCGATCATTACCATAGGGATGATGATGTCTCAAAGCGATGTTATTATATTTATTATAGAGATATCAACGGACTGAGTAAGTTTGCGCCCTGCATCTGATTCTATTTGTTCCAAATCCGAGACTGTACAAATCTAGAAAACTCGGACCCACTTCGGATGTCGCTTGTGCACTAAATCCGATTCGAAATCGAGAAAATACGAATATCGCTTGTACACCTACAGATAACATAGTCCCTGTGACATTTCGGACCGTCGTATCTCGGACTTGAAACTGATATGAATCGGACACTACGTCCGAAAACACTCTTAGGGTTGTTTTGAAAAACCACGATAATCTTTTAAAAGTATATAAAGTATAAGTCAATTCTGAAATCGAATGTCTCTGCTTCAAAAATAATATTCCATAAAAAACAAAATATGTTTTAGTGTCAGAATTTATTTATTATAGAGATATCAATGAACATAGAGCTTTTTAGGAAAACCACAACAGTCTTGAAAGGTTGTATGACAATGTCATTTCCTGACCTCGAATTTATCAGCTACATAGATGATATAGCATAAAGTGGAAAGTATATTTTCTCAGATTTATTATAGAAATATTAATGACCGTAGGGCTTTTTACAAAAACCACGATAATGTTTTCAAAGGCCTAAAATGTATGTCATTTCGTGGCCTCGAATTTATCAGCTACTTACTTCGTGAGATAAACGACGAGATCGTAAATAAAGGATGAAACGCAATAAAAAAATGTGACGTCTATGTAGTCAAACGTCACTTTAATATATGTATATACATATATTTTATGCGCGTATATATACGTCATAGTTAATTATGGACCTAACTGAGTATGACCACATAATAAGCATTACAAAATGTGTGTTCAACTAACACGATTTGAAGATTTTCATTATATGTCAATATTTAATGTTCTCTCGCGTGTGTGTGTGAAAATGTGTATGTATCAAGTTTCTCTATTTTTGTTCTAAATATAAATACATATAAAAGTTTGTAATGTTTAATTAATATCATAGCTAGGTCGTCATTGCAATTTGTAAAATTAAATTCAAATTATAAATTAAGGAGTAATCAGTTTCAAAAAACATTATTTACATACTTAGTATAGATGTTAATGTTTTATCGTAATCATCTTAATGTAGCACGCTAACAATTTCAATTATAGTATTAACAACGCTAATAAGGATAAATATTTGTATTGACGGCGTAAGGCGTTGAATGGTTTTTAGGTTCCGTAATGTTAAAATGATTTAAATAGAGTGCATAACACCTCTCTCTGAAATCCCAAAATTGTATTATTGTGTTTTGTTTTTAACATACACAAAAAACGACGAATTGAGACACTCATCGAAAAAAAATAAAAAAAATACAAAAATACTATTGTTTTCTCAATTATTCACATTGGGTGCGCTAAGTATATTTCGATACTTCCGGGAAAAAAGGGCGGAAATGCCACGCCACAAAGTTTGCACAAGGAATGTTGAAACAAAACTTATAAACGATTTAGCTTATATATTTGTTCCAAGTTTCTATATGTATAAAGGTGTTTGTGCAAAAAAGCGTTTTTGTTAATAACTTGCTTGGATGAGACAGGTCGAGAGAGCACGAACATGTCTACATCTAAATTACATCAATAATTTTGTTTTGATAACATGTTCACTTTCGTCGTTTCGTGCCTGAAGTATTATACATTTATAACGTTCTACTTTTCATTTAAGTACGAAAAGTACAGGATCAGGCGAAACTTCTTACGAAATAGTTTTACCGCTATGTGAAACTGTTAATAAAATTCAAGGGCTTTACAAGCAAAAACGTGTTAAACTACTTTTTTGAAAATTCTGAAAAATAATAAAAAATGTCCATCAGCGCCATCGATAGCACCCTTCCGATATTTTATAGGATGCACTTCGCCGAATGCGTGCAGGTATTACATGATTTAATCCTGCTCTCCCCTACTCGTTACTAGGCAACGAGACTCGATGAGAGGTTTCACCCTTCTACCGTTCACGTTCAATCAGTTTGCAAAAAACATTTGCTGTTCAATATGAATACAGCTATTAGTTAAAACTCTTTCGCATATCTGTATTTACCGAATGATAAAACCTTGATATTTTTAAGATCAAAGAGTGTGTTGTTGACATGTCAGCCCAATTAGAAAAACATTACATAAAAAAATAGAATCTACATATACAGATAAATCAAAATACTACCTAAACAATCATGTGTTTGTTGGCTCGGACAAAATGGACCGAAACGAATCAATACTTAATGTACCAAATATACCGTGTGCAAATAACCGCATCCTGACACGTTTCGTCCGAACACACTCCATGAGCTAATAATATATTTTACTTTACATACCTTTCAAACATGATTGGACAAGCCTTACCCTATTTAATTTTAAGATCCCAAAAATACATCTGATCGTTATTTATAATGAGTGATGTATCATGTAAGCTAAATCATATTATTATTGATACAAAAATCGATCGTCACAAAGAAAAATTCTTCCGATTCTAAAACTCGAACCAACGTCTGTCGCTTCAACGTGGCTAGTAGTAAAAATCTTGATTTTCAATAAAAATAAATAAATGATAAGTGTTTCTTACCTATCATAGTTCCGACGATTAGAGCCACCCCACTGAAGAGTCCCACCCGTCTCTTGAGGTGAACAGGGTCGTCCGCAGCTGCGTCCGACCCCTCCAGCTACGACAAGGAGGCATTATTTTGTTAACCACAAACACAACTAGTGTCAACAACAACTTGTGCCTCTATAACATTTATTTTATATTTTTTTAATAGTCTTAAGACATCAAAAGCTAAATACATTTTTAAGGCTGATAGAGTTAGAAAAAATCAAATGGCATTATCAACTTTAAAATTGTCTAAGCAGTGAAATTTACCAAAAGTATCGATACATCTAAGCAGCTATTCTTATTTACACGTTCAGAATGCTTAAAATAGCTGAGGGATTTTACAAAATACGATCTATGTTAATGAATTCAAAATGCATTTTCAACTGTTTTTGGGTATATGCAACTCGAAATCGTTAACTTAAGGTCGCCTTTTGTCAAATGTATAGGTAGGAACATGGTAGGAACGGTGCCCTCACTTATTTATAGCACATAGTACGCCGACTGTACGTCGTTTTGTTACCATTAGACAGAAGGACATTTTGGACATCTTTTATGCGGCACCATTTCATTCAGTGATTTTGTAAGCAAAGCAATTTGATATTAATACGCTTTTTTAATCATAGTATTGACAAAATTAAAGAAAGATTAAAAAACTTCATCTTTACATACTTAATTTATTTCAAAGCTTGCATATAAAAAATACAGAAACAGAGCTTCTAAGCATTAAACAGAAACTTTTAATAAAATAATAATATATCATTGTGTCATTTGTCAACGATTCTCACAATGTTTTCCTTTACTGTAATTTATTGACTGAAAAAACGTTTACGATCAATGCTTCTTTATTTATATATTTTCTAATTGTAACAAAAACGAAGTTTAAGTATAGATATTTTTAACACTAGGTACGCATAGATCTCGTTCATGTATCAAATTTTTTGAGGAAATCTCGGACTTGTGCTCTCTTAGTAACCGAAAATGTGAAATGAAAATAAGATATTTAACACGACATTGATTTGTTGTATAAGTTTTTAAAACTGATCTCTACAAAACACTATTTCGTAATTTAGAGAGGCTTGGACAACTGTCTGTCATCGAAAGGAGTGACACAAGATATTTAAATTTCAATTATCGTGGAACGCTCTTCAGCGGATTGTCAACAGAAAAGATTATAATACTTCAGGGAAAAATCCTGCACTATGTTTGCAGTGCACTCAGTCCATGTTTAAGGTAAATAACAAAAGTGGACCAGGGAAAAGCCTTTCGTCGACTACAAACCTTATAGAACTATATAGTAATTTCTGAGATTATTTCTATTTATTATGACGTAACAGTCATACGTCAATTCAATGAATTCTTTAGTAGCAATGAGAAGAGGAAAATTTTACTATTGCAAAATGCGAAAATATTATCGCTTTTAGAGTGAAATTACAGGCACTACGGGCGCAGTGGCAGTGTCCCACAGACCTTTGCGATTTAAAGCTCCGTGTGCACTGCAACTGTTATGGACAGGTGTGTAGTTTACCATTAAACGCACGACTTGTTCGTCCCGTCACTTGATATTATAAAAAAAAGTAAATTTTTGTTTTGACTATGACTCTATTTATTAAGTACTCTGCCTAAATAGTGCAGGATGCGCACACGGGCACATGGTCTTATTGAGCGCGAGCGCCTCACGACGCCTCCATAGAGCCTGTGTCTCTCACGGCGCAAGCGAATTAAACGGGTTATTGCTTTCCAACATCATTTATAATTGCACCATTTGCACCAGAATTTCCGGTCACTAGGGAAAATGTAACTGTAAATATTCTATTTTGATCGCGTACCTACGCCAGGGTATGATTGCACCAAGGCGCTACGTGGGCTAGCGCCAGTGCTGTCAAGAGACTCCTGCGTAATCTCAATTTGTAAACTTGACAAGCGTATAACAATTTGTTACCTTGTCTCCTGGGTTGGCGTTGCCGTCGGTGAGTGCTCCCGTCGCGCCGTCTTCGGCGTCGCAGCCGGCGGAGCACCCGCGCCATACCAATCCGCCTTCGCGTGCTCTCCCTAGAACAAACAGACGTAACACAATTACGTATAACGCGGACCACTGGAACAAACCCTGATATAGTAAGGAAACACGGCTTCCGCGGCCGAACGGTTACCGTGTCGGACTGCCACGCATAGGTCCCAGGTTCGATTCCCGGACCGGGAGGAATATTTGTATGGCCTATATTTATTTCTCTCGTGAGTTTGATGTAATTTGTGGTTGTCTATGTGTATGTCCATGGCACCCGCGACACAGGGTTTCCCTAGTGCGGGGCTACGTCGAGTGTGAGCGTTGTTATTAAAAAAATTACAAATACGATTTACACATAATTTAAAGTTTTCGGGACTTCGGACAATTAAAAAAAAATCCATAAGGCCCTTAACAGTCGATACTACCTCAACTCCTTTTTTCCTTACTGAATCTGTTCTATTGCGCGTGTCGAGAGGCAAACATACTGGCGTTTTTTCAAAATTAATTCTTTTACAAACGAAATTAAAGCCATTTGAAAAATGTATATCGTATACTATACGTGTTCTATTTAGTTCAGTTGATATAAAAACAATCATTGGTATACGTAAAGTACTTATTGAATACAGCGGTTTTGATGTAAAATTTCGAGGTAAGTTTGTGTTTTTTTCTATTGTGAAAATTAATTTACACACCGTATACTAATCAGTGCATATCCACAATTTTACTATATTTATTTCAAATTCACCACTTATGCTGTTGTGCAGAATCAATCAAAGTCATTTGAGGTATCAACTTTTAAGGCATTTTCATAACGCCTCAGACTTGGACATAACTTTCAGAAAAACGAGACAAGAAGGAAAATTTATAGAGAATATAAAATCCGACCTATTTTAATAATTTCATTTCATTTTTAGTCATGGTTAGCAAATATATTACTTATTTATCTATAAATATATTAACTATAATTATATTAAAATTTTGTAAATATTTAATAGAAAAACAATTACTTTGTTTCATTTTTAATTTTAACTATGAACCTAATCACATAAGTTTTGTATATTTCTAAATGTTATATGTAGATGTAGAAGAAGAACTCCTTGTGAAAGAATTGGTCCAGAGAAGTACTGCCGCCGCACTTATTTCTACCGCGAAGTAGTAAAATTAGAGCATTACTGCGTTCTGGTTTTGTATGTTAAGGGAGTACCCTTGAAATTACAGGCACATGGGACTTCTCAACTTATGTGTCATGGTGACGAACGCAGTGGCAGTGCACCTCAGATCTTTGCGATTTAAAGCTCTGATTGGCACTACAACTACTACTACTTGTTCGTCCCGTCATTTGGTATGTTAAAAAAAACATTTGAAGGAATAATGTTTTGTGTTTTGATGTCTATCTGTTTTATGTAAATAAATGCAGCAAAACATTTATTTACACAAAACAGTTAGAGATTTAGGCTGCAAAACATTTTAAACGAGCGTCTGAATCTTCTTTATAGAGTACATTGCTCAAGCGAGTTATGTAGTCAAAAATTTTGTGAATAACCGCATTCACAAAGAATGCTGTATTAATAGATATAAATTGTGTTGCAGTCCCTCATGTTTACATGTGCAAACTTATAAACATCTAAAACTAAAGCAACATTAACAGACTGTGAATGTAGAGCTCTTTAAAATAGATGTAATCTCTTCAAATTCTAAATCTGGGATATATAGAATAATACTCATAAATTTTGCTCCAATTGACAACAAGGTACATGACGGAAGTATGTGTGTACTTGCCAAAGCTGTTCATTATTTGATAATGCGCAGTTAATCTAACTAAATTGGTGTCGTAAAAAAGGTAAAAAGTAGTCTAAACGTTAATATTGTACTCGACGATTTCCACAAAGATGTTAAAAATAAAATTGTTCGTAAACAAATCTGAAATAATTTGCGTATCGTGTTTTTTTAAAAAAAGAAACAATTCAGAGAAAGAAGTAATAGATTTATATCTACATATCTTGTAATAACAGCCCTTAATTGAAAGAAGTTATGTTGAAGCGTTGAACGTAATGAAGAACCAAGGTCGCCGTTGATTGATAGAGCTTTGTGGTACAGTTATCAGTATATATTAGTGCTAAATAAAGTGACTGCGGCGGAAAATCAATCATATGACGGCTGGCTGTATTGATTGCTTTCAAAGACTACACGTTCACGGTTTGTCAGGTTAATGCAATGGTAAATCGATTTATTCTATATTGGCATTTACTATATACGCGTATGATTTCCGAGACACTTTGTTCTGTTAGATACAACATCACATAAAGTTTTATCGTATAGATCATATACCCCAGTGGCGTAGCGTCGATACCTGACGCCCGGGACCAGCATTACATTTGTTGCCCCCTTTATTTTTATATAGTTTGTTCGGGCAGGTTCGGCTCGATTGTGTTTTTATGTTCGCCTGCCGTCGCTACCTGAGTGTTGTTCAAAGTATCGTTGCCGAAAATAGTTGATTTTATTTAGTAATTTTAAGTAAAAAATAATTGAATTGACTTGTTAGGGCTTGGCCGCGCTCGCCGCTGCCCCCATTGCTGTGCCGCTTTCTGCACCCCTCACGCTACGCCACTAATCTACCCTTTAATTATATCTCGCTGTGAAAGTAATTTCTAATGTATATTTATTAGTCTTAAAATGCAGGAAAGGAAATTAGCATAAATATTTTTTCAATACAATAGCTCGACAAGTTTTACTTTCAATGGCGATTGAGTGGTAATTTTCCGCCCCAACACAGAATACTATTTGAATTTCCTTGACCGGCCACTTTAAATGATTATTACAAAAAAGTTTATTTATATTTGTAATACATTATGAATATTTTTGTTGTCTAGAACAAAACTAAGCAAAGAGCTTGCCAAATTGATATAAATGATTATAAATGCTATTTACTTACGACAGATTTTAATTATTTTAACATTTCATTTATCAAAAAGTATTAAGGCAGAATGTGTTCGAATCTCTGCCTTTTAATTTTGTTATACTTAAGAGTAACAGGAGTTTCAAAATAACCGCCATAAAGATATAACGATTTCCCGCGAAAAATTTCAAATTAAACTATTAAAGAAAAATTAAAACAACTTAAGATCTGGCAGTATGGCCAACGAGACGCCTTAACTCGTCCCTACGGACGAGATATTTTCCTACTACCCATATTACTACTGAGTCTAAACGATACAATACCGGAGCAGTAGAAAAATTCATTATAATAAAAATAACATTATGTGCCAAGCCAATTTGTGATCAGAGCAGCATATTGCTTTGACGGTTGTGCCAAATTGTAAATCCGCAGTCGAGATTCTTCTTCCTATACGTTTAATTAGAGATGGTCGTGATATTATAAACAAAACAACAAACCATTCCTTAAATAAATAATAATTTTAATAAATATTAATCATAACGTACTACAGAATACATCATTTGTATTTGTCTATCTAATAGTGTAACATAGCTTTGAATATGATAATAATATCAGCAAATTTAAATATAATATGCAGAATCATACTAAAAACTCGCTGCTCATTTACAAATTCCCTTGGTAACTTTACACCAACAATAATAAGTCTCTTAAAAATATGACTTCTAAGGGACGAAACACACTTGACAACCAAGGGTGTTGGCGATATCTCATACAAAACACACATTTTCCTATGTGATACTGAACCGTGATGATAAGTGGCCACTTTTTAACCGACTTCAAAAAAGGAGGAGGTTCTCAATTCGACTGTACGTTCTTTTTTTTTTTGTATGTATGTTACGCGATAACTCATTTGTTTGCATTTGTGAACCGAGTTTCATGATTCTTTTTTGAAGAAAATCATCCACCTCGAAGGGTGGCTGTTCACGCATGAAGATTCATGTTATAAATAGAGCCTAACTTTAATTTATGAGCAATTACTTTAATACTTGATTTTGCTATTTCTTCAATTCAATGCGTTTTTCTCTCAATATACTTTGAGTAGATTCGTAGTGAGAACCTATTTTTATTGTCTCCAGTGTCAAGTCCTGTATAGTGGCGAACTAGAGGATATTTCAAGAGGTTGATTGAGGTCGGTTTTTTTAGTACTCTGTACTGAGATTATTAATTATTCAATAAACAATTAGATTAGTGTACTTCTTGTGCAGATTGTGTCAAAATAATCTAAATGGTCACACTAATCGAATATAAGTTAATTTATTTACTTAACTGCATCATGGATAGCACAAAGAAATGTATCTCGTGGGTCCATACCCAGTTAAGGAGTTAAATCTGTAATTATACATTGACTTCTCTATACAAAACCATAGAACTTTTATAAGGTCTGAAGAAATATAAAGTGCTTGAGTTATATATTTAACCAGTAACGCACACACTCAACATAGCCCCGCACTAGGGAAACCCTGCGTTGCGGGTGCCATGGACACACACACATATAGACAACCACAAATTACACCCAAACTCACGAGAGAAATAAATGTAGGCCATACAAATATTTCTCCTGGCCCGGGAATCGAACCTGGGACCTCTGCGTGGCAGTTCAGCATGGTAACCGTTCGGCCACGGAGGCACTTAACCGATGTTTCTTTTTACTAATTTTGTTTTATTTTAAGTTGAGACTAACTATAGAGGTATAATGTGAATCTATATCATATAGAGTGAATAATACCGCCCAATATCAGAATTATTACAAAGTATTTTGTTTTGTACTTTTGATATGTATCTTGCAATTGTGGTAGTGTATTTAAAAGAAAAGTTTTGTAATTTTAAAAATATAACTTTTTATCATTATGAATTCAAAGATCGAACACACAGAATTTTTTTTTCGTCAACCCGGTGGGTCTTGAACCCACGTCCATGCTGCACCGTAGCATTGCTCTAACCATCTGAGCTAGAACTAGATATCACTAGCGGCGACGAATGCCGAATGTCAGTACCTACAAAATCCATAACAAAAACACATAGGAGAGTTTCGACGACTCGGCAACTAGACTCGTGGCTCAGATGACGAAATTTTTCTGTGTTCGATCTTTG